AAAGCGAGCCGGTGGTTTGGGGTCGCGCAGTCTAAATCGGCCAAGACGAACGTGAATATTCTTCACCAAGAGGAGCTGATAGCGCAGAAAAAGAGAGAAATTGAGGCCAGACTGGAGCAGCAAGCGAGGCAGAATTACCTGAGCATACAGCAGCTGCCTCTCTTTGGAGAGTAAGTGCGGATTTAGGGCGCTTTTAGGTCGGAGCTTCCCTGACAGAAACCAGGCGCGTTCGCCAAATGGAACCGCAGAGACGAGAGCTTTACAAAGCTTTTGCACTTGGAGGCAAATGCTGAGAAAGTTAAAATTGGTAACTTCAAAAAAATAAATTGTCGGAACAGGCTACTTGCAATTTAACTGATCTAGCCGGGTTTTTCGGATGCTGGGGAGAACAGATATGTGCTGACAGCAATCGTATTTTTAACAGGGTCTTATTACACTTCTGCTTCCTGCTTGTTACCTTTCTTATAATCACGACTCCAAAGTGTTAGCACAATTCTCCTGTTAAATGCTTGCCTGGCGTTCTTAGAAGCAGAGTAGCCTAAGAAAGCAAGCAGAAATCCTGTTTCAACAGAGTATTAAACAAGGTGGAGAGCTTGGGTCAGTGCTGTAAGCAGCAGGCTGAATGGTTCTTGAGCCTGCACATGTTTTCAACGTCAGGTGAGAGAGATTTGCAGTCACTGGCATTTGTCTTCTTTTCTGTTTAAATGGCGGGGGGGCTGGGGAGGAAGATGATGAATACCATCACCTGCTTTTCTTTTTCTATTCAGAGATGACGGTACTGACAATGAAGCCTGTGTTTCCAACAAGTTTGTTAATGATGGCAGTTTCCTCCAGCAGTTTCTCAAGCTGCAGAAGGAAAAATCAAGTACTGGTAGGTCAACTTATGAGCAACAGGAGGCCTTCCTTCTCCTGGTGATGCCAGCTTTGTGTGAGCTGCCTCCATGTATGTTCGCTTTAGAAACCCTGCTATGAGCTGTTACCAGTATGAGTAAGTTCTAAAGCAATGATGACCCCTTTAAATTTGGATTAAAGTCTTTCTTCAAGGTGTGTTAGGGAGGTTTCCCTCTGTAGGTGCTGTAAAACAAGCATCTCTCTTCTAGCCTGAATCTCACTTTGTAAAAATCATCACAGCTTTCACTTAGTTATGCAGCTTTTACCAGCCAGTGTCTTTAACTTACTCTGAAAATAACGGCCTCTTGCAGCTGTATTACTGCCTGAGTTGTTATTTGTAACCTTCTAAGATTAAAACAGCGAGGATGCACAGGAATTATTTTCCCCTCATTCTTTTCTAAGAACCTCCCCCAAGTTCTACTAATAACTCGGCAAACACTTCTGCATCAAATGTTGGGAAGAAACCTATGCTGTTTGGGAAGCGCCCCGGTCAGGTCCTGAGCAGCATGCTGCACCAAGCGAAGAACTACTCCCATTCCAAACAGACCCCAGTCGTTAACCGCCTCAGTGTGTTTCAGTCGCCAGATGAAGATGAGGAGGAAGATTATGAGCAGTGGTTGGAAATTAAAGGTAAATGACACCTTCTGCTACGTTGTTTGTTTTGGGGTGCAGGTTTGCTTACCCTAGCGATAGGAGGATCTTCTATCCCAGTAGAGGGCTGGGGTTTTTTTTCCTTATGCTGGGAATTGGTATTCTTAGTACAGTTCCCCGTGTGCAGACTTCTGCGTCGTGAAATATAAATGACGCAGGTTAAGGGGACCAAATGCTGTTAGATATTCCTTACCCAGCCTGAACTCGGTGTGGGAGACGGGTCACTCGCCATGGTCCGACTGGGTCTGGTTTGTGCCTAGAAGGTTTATTTTCTTTGAGTTATCAAGGCAAGCGCTTGACTGGTCTATAAGCCTCTGTGAAAAATAATACGTAGAGAAGAAACATCCTGCTCATAATGGAGCTTGATTGTTTGCTAATCATAATAATTCTGCTTTTGCCCTGTTTAAATCTGTTACGGCTAGTGCTGAGTTCTCTAGGACATAAATAGATACAACGCTTGTATTTAAAATGGAATTTTAGGGTTTTTAAATGATGGAAAATGACAAGTCCTTGGTTTGGGTGTGGCAGCCTAGGGTGAAAAATTCTGTGTGTCAATAAATAAGATTACATGTGGGGCACGGAACTATGACCAGGTAAAATCAAAGTCCCTGCCTCTTTTCAAAGTTTCATTAGAAAAATCTCACCTCTAGGTCCTGACTGCTTTAAGTAGGATAGATGAAGAATACTGCAGCGCTTAAATAACCATGTTTCTCTGGATAACCTAGGCTAGGAGGCCAGAAGGCAGATTTGCTTAATAATCTGAATTTCATGCGTGTGTATTAATCAAGTATAAAATTAGATTGGAGTTGCTAAGTAAGTCACACTAAGCTTTGTGTCAGAATTTATTTCATTATATGTTTACAAAACCATGTCTAGCTATTGCTGGTGGGATTTATAAAAGCAGATTCTTAGCAAGTCTGAACTTAAGCGTGAAATGCACTGCAGGAATGTGGGAAATAGCTACTGGCTGCAGAAAGTGAAGACAGAATTTGGATGCTTAGTTTAAAGATTGTGGGTTTGAATCTAGTCTAGGTCGGTGTGGACAGCTCTGCTCCCGTGTGCTCTCTGTTCAGCGCCCTACCCAAAATATCGTTGTCTAGACAAATGCCTGTGTTTAGTTCCCATTGAATGTGTCCTGCATCAGCTCCGTAATCACTGTCGGTGTTAGTGGGTTCCTTTCTTGGCACAGAAGCCAAAATACAGTTTCTTGGAGACTGAGCTCTCCTCTTATGTCTGGTGGGATTCCGTCCAACGAGGGTTGAGACATGGGCATATGCCGGTAGGAAGAACTATGTGCTCTGGCTACACAATCTGTCTCTGCTGTCTGGGTACAGAGCGATGCCTTGGGAACTGGAATCTGTAATCCTTAGCGAGTAATGTGGTTATTAAAACCAAATTCCTCTTCCTCCCCATTGTGTTTTGTATGGAAGAGAATTGTCAGAGGCAAATTACATTGCCATTCAAGTTGCACCCTAAACTGTGGTGATCCAAATCTTAGGTTCTTTCGTTGTAGGAAAAATCTAGACCAGATATTATCTTCCTACTAGGGGAGTGCAGAGGCTGACAGTAACCTAGGGATTGTAATTTGTACAGCTGTGTAAGACTGGATCCCCCATTTCATCCTTTTTCTTCCCATTCCCGTTCTACTTTTGTCTGCCGCCGTGATTCTTAGAAGTAATGTACCTGTTGCCTGTTTGGTGTGTGAGTTGAACCCCAGTACTGACAGCCTGCTTAAAGTTTTACCCCCAGAGGATGCGGAGACCCGACAAGTGGTGGAAAAGCTGGCTAGGTTCGTGGCTGAAGGGGGACCAGAATTAGAGAAGGTTGCTATGGAAGACTACAAGGATAACCCAGCTTTTTCGTAAGTGTGGTGATAACTCTTGTCTTCCAAAGCAGAACACTGTCTCTTTGTAGGAGAAAAACATCAGCCTTGTGTGTGTAGTTCTGGTGGATCTGTTTGGTTTAATTATAATTTGGTGGATTTGAGCTTTGTTGTGAGTAATTTTTTTTTATAGCTGGGGAAACTGAGGCAGAGCATATGGGGATGCTGGACTCCATCCTGGGACTGGTTCTGTCTCTTCCGCAATTGATGCGCTGTGTGGCAGTGGACAGAGGATTCCCCCCTGTATCAGAGGACACTTGTTACTTATTTCCCTTCAAGTGACACAAGAAATTTGGCTGCAAGTGCTTAAATTAAAGCTATGTGTATTTATATGTACTGAAGGCCTTGTAATCCCCATTTTAAGTGCATTCTGCATAATTTATCTATTTTGTATTTTTTGGGTTTGAGCAATTTATATCCCAAGGTATCAATGTTTGTGTATGGTTGTTGCTGATACATATTTTTTTGCCCTTTTTTCCTCCATCTCCACCCTAGGTTTTTGCATGATAAGAACAGCAGAGAATTCCTTTACTACAGAAAGAAAGTGGCAGAGATAAGAAAAGAGAATCAGAGTTCTCAGGCATCCTCTTCTCAGAAAGGTAATTAAGACTGGGATCTGGAGAATACCAATTGCATAAGTCAAATTTGACTTCTTCGCTCTCTCTGTAACTGCTTGTTAGGCCTGTTGTGGAAACAGCTGGAGTGGATATTTGGCTGTCAGTCTGCTCCCTGTAAATCAAATTTCAAAATGGAAGGAGATGGTGATGAAACATCGTGATGGCACCAAACTCTTGTGCCAAAATGTTTGTTTCCCAAGCCCGCAGCATGCTATACCGTGCTGTCTGTAAAGGGCTCTTTCAAGAGATTTTCCCGGTTGTTTCCCAAGCCCGCAGCATGCTATCTGTAAAGGGCTGTCTGTAAAGGGCTCTTTCAAGAGATTTTCCTTGTATTTCTCCAAAATCCTTAACAAAGTGATCTGAAATGATTCTCTGTCCTGTGTGTTCTGGGAAGTGTTTCAGCCCTGAAAATGCGTTTAGGAAAAGTGCTTTTTGTCAGATGTTCTTACTCTGTCTGTTATCGATGAAAATGGCTGGTTGGTTTGTTGAACACAATCCCCATTTCTGCTGCCATGTCCCTAACTGAAGCTTTTATTTTCTGCTTGGGACATAAACCCTTGCAAGTAAGGGACTGTGTTTTCTGGTGGGAAAACAGCAGAAGTGGGTGATCTGCCAACAGGAAGGTGATGTGAGCAGGGCAATTTGGTTAACTGTTCAGAGACAGAAATTATTTAGTGGGTGAAGTGTGGTCTGTGGGCCAGCCAGTTTATTGCTTCTGGGCCAGCTGCTGTTTCAGGCCCGCGTGTGGCCCCGGTGAATCGCTCAGCCTCTCTGTGTCAGCTTCCTTTGCTGTGGAAATGAGTGTTAATGCAATTTAGCTGTCACACTGATGAGTTAACAGCTCAAACAAATCATGGTTTAATAGACTGTAGGCTGAAAGGACTTGTTACCAATATCAACTAACTATACAATGGTTTGGAAGCTAAGCAGTATTATCCATACTTTACAGGTGTGGAATATTGAAGCAAGGAAAGGTTATGACTTGTCCATGGCTTATAATCATGTCTTCTGCCTCCTGGTCCTGTGCCAGCCCACTGGAGTACTGGCACTGGTACTGTGCAGGTAGCAAATGTCATATAAGGCTGTCGTGGCTAAATAATGTATTTGCCTGGCTCCTTATAAACACCAAATATGCTTGAAATATTAATGATCAGAACCTTCTCTGTGCCTTTGGGCTAAGGCTGCAGTAGCCACCTCTTCCAGGTGAGGACTGGGACTGTTCCATGGAGAATTTCCTCTGTCCTACAACCCTCCCCTAAAATGGCCAGCAGATGTGTAGTGACAGTAGGTACAAGTGGGATTACGGCGTGGGATTAGTCGGCTGCTTTTTCTAAGGCCTTCCCGTTGCGCCTGGGGATGTCAGTGGCAAAGTCTTTAACTAGAGATAATTGCGAGTGCTGAGGTGTAACCTTATGGAAGAGTGCCTGACGCGAGGGCGAAACAGAATTCCTCTGCAGCAGAGAGAAACAAGTGTCCATCATGGAAGACAAAAGCTGGTTTTTCTGTTAATCTGCTCTCATCTGGCTCCTGGCACAGAGGAAGCTGATGTGTGAATGGGCACTCCTCTGGTTACAAAGCTGTTGTACAAACTTACGGAATATCATGTTTTTGTGATATAAACTCTATGACTGTTTATGTGTAATATTTCTAAAAATTAAACTCGACCTTTTGCCCTTATTCTGCTCTTGGGGTTCTTAGAACAGATAGGCTTTGACTGTTGCTTGTGTGAGTTGGGCCCAGTACTGACAGCCTGCTTAAAGTTTCACCCCCAGACGACGAAGAGACAAAGAACTCTGCTGAGAAACTGGCCAGGTTCATAGCAGACGGGGGTCCCGAGGTGGAAGCTATTGCCTTGCAGAACAACCGAGAGAACCATGCTTTCAGGTAAGGGAAGAAACCGGCTGCCGATGTCATGCGGGGAGGGGCTTGGATGGGTCTTTTGGGGTTTTTTTTTTAAGGGGAAATAATAGACAAGCTTGTGATAAGTCTGAAGCTACAAGGACAGTGCACTTATATAGCAATGATACTTTTACGTTCTCAAGCTTCACAGTTTAAAGAAAGGCACAGAGAGAGAGAAATCGATTTGCTTTCCCCAAAACTAATTTACGACTTCCACCCCTGCCCCTCACCTGCTTTCTGCTGCAATGCACTAGTGTAACTCTAACCTTTATGCTTTTCCCTATAGCTGTGTTTTGGTGTGGGCCCCCATCCACCACTCATACCGCTGCTGTCCAATTAATTTCCCAGGTTGCTCTTTACGCAGCATCCTCACTAACGTACAGGTAGCATTCCCTCACCATTAGGAACACCTTTGGAATACCTTTTTCAGCCTTTCAAATGTGAATTGTTCTCTTCAGTGCTTACTGACAGCTGTTTAATGCCTCCCTTTGGTCTCATCCATGTTTCATTTTGCTGCTCTTACAAACAATTTGGTGTGTTCTCTGGAAGGGAAGCAGGGCTCAGCAAGGCTTGTTTTATTGCTGATATTTTGGCATTTTATTGGCTGCCTTCTGGCCCTCTGGGGTACTCCCCTGGTCTTATGAATTACATTGGACAGATGTGCTAATACCTGAGCTGTTTCATTATTTACTTTAAAACACCGCTGTGAGCACAGTTGAGTTAAACACCATCTCCTTCATTAGGATTTTATCAGGTTTGCCGGGGGGGAGGGGGGGGGGCATCCTGCCCTCTGCTTGGTCCTGAAGCAATCCTTAGTGCTGTTATTCAAATGGAGGCATGCAGGACCACATTTAGTGAATTTTAAAATCCGTCAGAGCGCTGTTTGTGTTTGCCTGTGTGTGTTGCCTGGGGTAGATGGGAAACACCTGTCATCTCTTACATTTTCCTGTGGGAACAGGCGCTATCCTGAGGGGAGGTTATATCAAGTATTAAACCGGTCATCTAAAAAGAGAAGATCGTAGAGGAGTTAGGAATAGACAAGTTTTCTGTGTGAAGTATTTAAACTGGAGTGAGTCCAAAAAGATAACATGGTTGTAACAAACAAGACTGTATTGATTTTTTGGGGGTGTTTTTTTTTTTTTTGTTTTTGCATAGCTGCTAGATTGAGGGTTGTTCATGTTCTTCCCACAAAGCCGAAGGAGTTTTATTTTACCCAAAAGGTCAGAGATGCCTATTTCTGGAAGGGGTAGCAAATAAAGCGATGTGTTTTTTGCATAAGAGGGAACAGAAGGAAGAGTCATGGTGTAATTAAGCAGACTAGTAATGTCAACGCTTCTAGCTTGAATAGGGACTTGGGAGCAGTTTCTTTAGGCAGTGGTTTGGCATTCCCATTGGCGAGGCCTGAATGTTTGTTTTCTTCTGGGAACTGAAACCCGACATGTTGTGGAGCCCTTGCAGTTTTTCCAAACGTGTTCTGGAAGGCAGGTGAATTCTGGGGGAGGACCTTGCGTTTCCACAAATGTAACGTGATCATTTCTAGTACTGTGTGTTTATTTGGCACCAAAAATAGCTGTGGCTTGCTCATGAATGGGAAATACGCTTCCTGATCCCCAAGGCTTGCAGCCTACCTTGCAAGAGCACGCGGAGCCCTGCATTGCATGCACAAACACACAGGATGGTGCTGGAGAGCAAGGAAGTGTGTGGGAAGGCTAGCTGTGCAAGAGCGTTGCAGGAAAGAAAAGCCCTGACCCAGCTGTGCTATATCCAACCCCTGCAAACGACTTGTTACATCTAAACTTTATTTTTTAAATTTATAGGTTTTTATATGAGCCAAACAGCAAAGGCTACAAGTATTACCGGCAGAAACTGGAGGAGTTCCGTAAGGCCAAAACCAGCACTGTGTGTGCCCCTTTGCCTGTAGAGTCCAGTCTGAAAAGGAAGACCAGTCCCGAGGCATCACCATCACCTCTGTGCTTACCATCTTTGCCTTTGCCCCTGCCCTCACCTTTGCCTTTGCCCCTGCCCTCACCTTTGCCTTTGCCCCTGCCCTTGCCCGTTCCCTCGCCTTTGCCCTTGCCCGTTCCCTCGCCTTTGCCCTTGCCCATTCCATCACCATTGCCCGTTCCCTCGCCCTTGCCCATGTTTGGCATTCCCATTGGCGAGGCCTGAATGTTTGTTTTCTTCTGGGAACTGAAACCCGACATGTTGTGGAGCCCTTGCAGTTTTTCCAAACGTGTTCTGGAAGGCAGGTGAATTCTGGGGGAGGACCTTGCGTTTCCACAAATGTAACGTGATCATTTCTAGTACTGTGTGTTTATTTGGCACCAAAAATAGCTGTGGCTTGCTCATGAATGGGAAATACGCTTCCTGATCCCCAAGGCTTGCAGCCTACCTTGCAAGAGCACGCGGAGCCCTGCATTGCATGCACAAACACACAGGATGGTGCTGGAGAGCAAGGAAGTGTGTGGGAAGGCTAGCTGTGCAAGAGCGTTGCAGGAAAGAAAAGCCCTGACCCAGCTGTGCTATATCCAACCCCTGCAAACGACTTGTTACATCTAAACTTTATTTTTTAAATTTATAGGTTTTTATATGAGCCAAACAGCAAAGGCTACAAGTATTACCGGCAGAAACTGGAGGAGTTCCGTAAGGCCAAAACCAGCACTGTGTGTGCCCCTTTGCCTGTAGAGTCCAGTCTGAAAAGGAAGACCAGTCCCGAGGCATCACCATCACCTCTGTGCTTACCATCTTTGCCTTTGCCCCTGCCCTCACCTTTGCCTTTGCCCCTGCCCTTGCCCGTTCCCTCGCCTTTGCCCTTGCCCGTTCCCTCGCCTTTGCCCTTGCCCATTCCATCACCATTGCCCGTTCCCTCGCCCTTGCCCATACCCTCACCTTCACCGTCATCCTCTACAACTCCACCTGATCAGACAGCTACAACTACTGCTGCAACAACAACCACCGCTGCTGCTACGGGCACAACTAAAAAGAAGCGGAAGAGCAGATGGGGGCCAGAGGAGGACAAAGTTGAATTGCCCCTCCCACAGCTCGTCCAACAGCTGGATTCTCCCTCCCCTCTTTCAGGTGAGTGGGTCTGTACATTGCGTTGAATAACTGTTTTTCCTGGGGAGTGCATTCTGCCTTAGCCCAGCTGGCTTTGTAAACAGAAAACCCAGCGAGTCTTATCTCTTGTTGTAATCTCCTTGGTTGCCAGCCCCCTATCTTTCAGCTAGGTCTAGCAGCTAACTCTCCCCTGTGTGGAAACCCAGATAAACCACTTTATCTCGCTGACACCAGGGATTGGATCTTATCGTTCTCCAGCTATCTCTAAAACCCTGCTGTGCTATAGCTCATTACAGCCTCAGCCTCTACGCTATTTAGGGCTATTTCACTTCAGGAAGAGAGTCTGTCAGAAAACAAGTATCAAAGGCTGAATTGCACTTATTCCCCATGGTAGGATAAAATCCCTGGGCAGCACTTCCATCCCACTCTAACTGATCAGAAGGCTAAGTGGGAATAGCTGTTCCCCAAGTGCTGGCGGATGCAAGTATAACTTCCAGTTCCAATTTATACCCATTTCAGTTCATTTGATTAGTCTGGAGAAGAGGAGGCTGAGGGGAGACCTGATCGCCCTCTACAACTGCCTGAGAGGAGGCTGTAGCGAGGGGGGGGTCGGCCTCTTCTCCCTGGTAATGGATGATAGGATGAGGGGAAATGGTCTGAAGCTGCGCCAGGGCAGGTTTAGGTTAGACATTAGGAAAAATTTCTTCACAGAAAGGGGCTGTCAGGCTCTGGAATGGGCTGTCCAGGGAGGGGGGTCAGTCCCCATCCCTGAGGGGATTTAACAGCCGGGCAGACGAGGTGCTTAGGGACATGGTTTAGTGGTGGGATGGCAGGGTTAGGGGAATGGTTGGGCTTGATGATCTTAAAGGTCTTTTCCAACCTAAACAATTCTATGATTACAGATGGGGTTCACAGTCCTCATCCAGCGCGGAGGCTCATGCTCCTGTTACTTCACCTGCCAGGTTCACCCAGGGAGTGCAGCTCTCTTCCAGTATTATTGGAAGAGAATTCTTCCAGTTGAGGCACTTCTAGTGAGCTCTCGGAGGTTGTTCTTCTGTGCGTGTGCAGATAGGTAATTAGACAGGCAGTTAGAAATGCATACAAAAATTGAGTCACTCAAGGACAACAGGTGAATGCAGACATTTAAGATGGCATCTTTGAATCCTGTGCCCAATTAGTGTGGTGCGGGGAAAGGATGTGAAAAGGAGAAAAAGACACAAGATAAGGCAGTCGGTGTTGGCAAACTGAGAGGATTAATAGTACGAGGCTAAAGTCGCAGGAAAAGTAATAAGTACCTGTCTCAATAAGGACCTTTTTCAAAAAGCAATAGCAGAACAGATGAAGTAGGACAAGTAATAGAAAACAAGCTATAATTTTCTGAGCTGCAGGGTGAGACCACAGATAATTCTCAGCACATGGCCATCCTGTACAATTCGTTGCTCCAGCGAGTCAGTGGGTCTTCTGCTTTGGCTGGGTTTTAGAGGAGATAATTGCTCAGCCATTAATAGCTTTGATTGTTAGGCTTGAGGAAGATGTAGGCTTGGCTGTGTATGCTGTGGTGTGTGTTGATTCTGTGGAGGTCAGGAAGGAAGGGCTCTATCTCCTAATCCAGCACTTCAGATGTAGATGACGAGAAGTTCCTATGTAATTCTGTCTTCTGATCACAGCCCTATACAGAAGTCTTGGCTATACATCTCATACGTACAAGACACTGACCTGGATGGTTTATTCATTTGACCTTGAATTGCTTCTCGTAGTAAGGCAGAAATCAGATGCAAAAGTCTTTCTTGATTTTGCACCTCTAGAGTAATTTTTTTTTTCTTGCAGACAGTAATGAAGCTTCGATGATGAAGCTGGGCAGGCGCTATCAAAACAAGCATCAGATTCCATCTTAATGCCTCCTGCTGCAGTGGGGGGCTGCAAGGGTATCCATGTGCTCATTCCCTCCCCTGGCTCTCTTAGCCTCCCCTTAATTAGACAGGGACATACTCGTTGTGTTCATGCTCACTTTCTGCAGGGCTTTGTGTCAAGTAGAAGAAAAGGACAGCAAACAATTTGCCAGGCATAACAAATCAACCGTTAATGCGCTGTTAATGCTCTGCAGGGGGAAGGATTTTTTTTTATCGGTTCAGATGGACTAATCCCTTTTTAAGAATTAACATCTTCAACCTGACAGGTGATGAGAATTCCAAATTACACCCCTGGTCCCATGGAAGGTTAGAGATGCACAGTATGCTTTGGTACCTAAGTATCTATGTCTTAGTCCTTTATCCTGAGCAATTGTTTTGGATTTAGTGGAGGACTGTTCTGATTCTTTTCCTGTCTACTCTTAGTAATAACTCAGTATCACGGAGAGGAATAAGTGTGGCCCTTTTGGACAGAAGCAAGGCTCCTCTTAAATGTATTGCTATCAAAACGTGTAACTGCATGCGTACTGCAGGGACTGATACATCTGAAAAACTGAACAGAACAGAGATCCTGTGATCAGTGAACTCTGTGGACCAATGGGAAATTACAAGCTGTCATTAGAGTTTTCTGAAACCTCATACTGGATTGGTTTGGGTCTGATTAGTTTTAATTGAGTAAGATCTTCAGGCTGTGAAGCAAAAAATCAGGCACTTCTGTATTGGGATTTCTCCTGCTTGTCCTTAAAGGACATTCACTTCTCTTGTAACAAGCTGCTTTTCGGGCATGTGGGAAAGGGATAAACCTTCAGGTAGTCTTCTGCCAATGCTGCAGATAGACTGCACCATTAACCCTGTAGGCAAAGCTGATGTCATTCAGGGAAAAAAAAATAATGTATTTTTCCATGAGACTGAGAAGCAACTCCTTATCTTTTGCATAGTGTTTGCCTGGTGCAAGACCGATGTAAGGAATTTATAAATCTTATCTATTTTTATGCAAATTCATTGACTGATCTTAGTTATGAATAGGCTTTTCTATCTTCAGATGTGGACTTGGGGTGGAGCTTTGCTTTTCCATCAACTTTGCCTGTATTGTGCTACATTGGGCCAAGACTACAGAATTATCCCCCAGAGCTAAATTTCTGCAGTGACTCTTTCAGCATCTCTCAGCATAAAGTCTGCAAGGTACCCGGGCAGCCAGACAAACCAGATGTAGCTTTAGCACAAGCAGGAGCAGTGGCATATGCTTTCTGGGAAGTAAAAGAAGATGCTATGGTCTCACCTTTCTCCTCTAAGGTGGTTATATATGCTGGCAAGCCACCAGCTCGCGGGGCCTCTAGAGCCATGCCTGGCTCTTAGCCTGAGTGTTTATGCAATTCAGAACTAAGCCAAAGAGCTGCTGACCTCTGTGAAGGGCAGAGAGTCTTCCTCGGTGCATTCAGAGAAAGCTTTCCCATGCCCTGAGACAGGAGGTGAATCTTTGACTGGGGCTCATGCTGAAGTGCCCCAGTCTCACATAACATTGGGGGTCAGATTCTGCTGTACGTGCAATGCGACTGCGTTCTGCGTTCGTTAGAACTGTTTCCAAATCTGCAGGCTCTCCGAAACAGAAATTGGGCTGTTTATCAAGAACAGATACGTTTATTTTCCTATTTGTGCTTATTTCTTGGGAGCTGAAAGCGCGTATCCTAGCACCAAGCCTAGCGTAACACGGCTTCTTGCTTTCCCTCTTGGAAAACCTCTTGCAGTGTTTTACATAACTCTTCCTGCAGAGTTGACTCCCGGCACTGGTGCAAATGTGCAGAGGCTGTAGCTGTGCGAGGGAGGGTGGATGCGCTGGTTTATGTTCTCCTTGGAAGGCTGGAGTTAAGGAAGCCGCTTTGCAATCGTGGAATGCTCAGCCGAAAGCAGGCGAGGAAAGGAGGGGAGATAAGAGGGCTCAGATCAATTGCCCTGAGTGCGAAGAAGAGGAAGGGAGAAGCCAACCCCTGGGGCCTAATTAGCATGCTGTGTAGACATTTGGTGTCATGAACAATGATCCTATTATTATCGGGCTTCATAATTAATAGATAATGAATAATTAATGAAGCATCATTTAGCTGTAGTCTGGACTTGTGTTCAGATGGAGGTTTATGTAGTCATTAGGAAGAAAACCTTTTCCTTGTATTGAAAAATGCAACGCGCTTTCAAGTGCCGTTGTGTGTCTTCTTCTAATCCGTTAAATATTTAACTGTTGGGATCTTAGCCCTGAGGTGCTTTAGAGGGGAGCTGCCAGCCCTGCTAGATATATAGGAACCAAGTTTGCAAGGCAATCTCCATTGTAAATCTTTTTTTTTTTTTTTTTTTGCAGCCCCAGCAGTGTCTCTATTACTTTCTTTCATGGTGCAGCAACTACAAATAGGCTTCCCTTTCCCCCCACTCCCCTTTATTTTAACTTGCCCTTTGTACTCAGAGTGTCTTACGGTCATTTTAAACCAGTAGGTGCCCTGCCCAGATAATGTTAATATCTAATTTCAGAGCTTATCTGATAAAACAGCAAAAATCATTCCAAAGGAGGAGCTTCCGAAAGGGGATGCTGCAGGAAAAAGGAGGCTACGTCAGTGGGATTGTCAAGCAGAGACTTAAAATGCCCCCTCTTTGAAAGCAGGGGCACCATCCCTGGCAATGCTGCTCTTGAGCCTGTAGATTAGAAACTAAAATCTCCTTGGGGAACAGCAACTTCCAAAAGCAGCATAATGCTCATGTCTTTATTCTAATGTGGTCATTTGCTTTTCATTTTGAATGAAGTTGCTGTTTACATAGTAATCAGCAGACTCTTACGTGCACAGATTGGACAATATGCTGACAGGCTCGGATCTGCTTGTGACTCAATTCTGAATAATTAAGTGCCACTCTTTGCAACGGCTGGGGTTTGTGAGGAAGCCTTATGAGGGGAATTAATCTTAAGGAGGCGTGTGATTTATTTTTTTTAAAGCATGGTATAGCAGATTGCCATGCAGTGCGACCTCCGAGGATGTGAGACGCAGTGTGCGAGTCTGCTAATGCGATGCGGGCAGAGCCTTGGACCAGGGTGAGGGAATACTCTGAGCTGGCTGGCGAAGGAGGTGCGACCCGGTGGCTCTCCTGCTCTTGTGGTTCCTAAGTCCTTCCAGGCGGTTGTTCTTCCATTAAGTGTCTTGATGCTGGAGCCACGAAATGAGTGTAAAACTTCACGGGGGGGATCTTGAGATGCGGTTTCACTGGTCTCAACAGCTGTCTCAGATTTTTGAAACTCTTTTAACATGTGCTTATTACAGTTCAGGACCTCAAGGGTCTTGGTTATGAAAAAGGGAAACCAGTTGGTTTGGTGGGTGTGACGGAGCTCTCCGAAGCCCAGAAGAAACAGCTGAAGGAGCAGCAGGAGGTAATGCCCTGAAATGATTTCCAAATTCATGTTGCGTTGTGGCATGGCTGGGTTAGATGGGAAAATGGAGGTGGAGGTAGCAAAGAAACTTTCCCAGTGGCCTGCAAATAAATCTCTAGGATTTGTGCTGAATGCCTAAGAATGATGTGATGCTGCAGTCAGCAGAAATATTAGAGGACTTTGGGGAAAATGAATTAAACCAGCCAATTGCCGTCCTACCAAACTAAACCCCAAAATCTATAAGGTCTGTTGTGTCACATCTGCAGCTGGTTATGTATTGCTCGGCAGCGGGGAGAAGGTGAGTGGATACTTGCAAGCTTTGGGGGAGTGAGAGCAGAATTGGCTCTTGCCGGAACGTGAGGGTGATGTTTCAGCTGCGTAGGGATGATCAGATGGCAGCAGTCCTCGGTGTTAATATCAAGGTACTTCTGCTGGAGGAACCAGCACATAATGCTGCTGTTTGATCTGAGAGGCGAGCACCGCCTGTTGAGATTTGTCGTTGCCATAACCTGTATGCTGTGTGGCGGCTGCGGGCTCCGCGGCGGAGCTCTGCCTGCTTCTGTGGCAGATTCTGCCTGTGAACTGGTTGTCTCACTCAGTGCGCTGTTGCATCTCTTCCCCTAGATGCAGCAGATGTATGACATGATCATGAAGCACAAGCGAGCCATGCAGGAGATGCAGATGATGTGGGAAAAGGCAATTCAGCAGCACCAACATGGCTATGACAGCGACGAAGAGGTGGACAGCGAGCTGGGAACGTGGGAGCACCAGCTTCGACGCATGGAGATGGACAAGACGCGAGGTGTGTAGGGAGCTGCCGTGCTCTGCGGTTGTACAAAGGCCTCCAGAGGGAGGTGTCTGAGATGGCGTTGTTGGCGTGGGAGTTGCAGGGTCACTTCTCACTGGTCTGTGGTGTGGCTTCCCTGCCTGTCAAGTGGAGATAATAACCGTCTGTTGCTGTGAGGCTTTATGCTTCACAAACCCTCTGAAATTCCAAGTCAAAGAACGCTGCGTTATTGCTGTTTCCTCTGTGTCTTGGGCAGAGTGGGCTGAGCAGCTGACCCAGATGGGCAGAGGAAAACATTTCATCGGAGACTTCCTTCCACCTGACGAGCTGGAGAAATTCATGGAGACGTTCAAGGCATTGAAGGTGAAATAGCAGAGACTGCACAGGGTGGTGGCGAAGCTTCAGACTTGTCCTGTAGCAGTGAGGGAAAG